TCGTTTGACGCATCACCGGTGTTGAGAGAATCATGTCGGCGCATCAGACCTTGTCAACAAAGGCTCATGGGTAGACGTTTGTTTGTGAACAATGACACGCTATGGCCACCTGACGCTTGCGCAGGTGACGACTCCTCCGCTTTAACAGGAAACTCTTTTGCTTTGTTGCTCTTGTCATGTCGTTGTTGTTTTTGTTGTTGAAAGGCTGGTATCCCGAAAGACATCTATCATCTTGTCAACACAACTAATACAATACTAATATAATTAGTTTACGTGTTCACGTGGATTTAATTTAGCGGATTTAGCAAAAATGACAACATTAAAAACCAGTGAATAATAACGAATGCGTTTACAGTATTCCTTTCTATATACTTTATTTTCGCTTGTAATCCAGAGGAAATACCCTTTTTTCTATATTTTTAATTCAACTTGTCACATATCAGTAAAAATAAATTCCATACAAATCACTCAAAAAGTAATTTCAGCGCAAATTAATAATTAAAATATTTTACAGTCATATGTCGGGGTCTGCGTTATGTATTCATTTCATTATCTACCGTTTAGAAAGATGAAATCATCGCCAACCGCAAAATAATCTATGACATCTCTCAATATACCAAACATTGATAGTGACAATGACTTACCTAGCACGTACTGGATTCCTATATTACACAAAACACCATACAAGTTTCATTGCTGATTCTTCCACAAGTACTAACAAGTGCATAGTCAAAAAGCATTTCGAGATGTGGTAACATTCCGATGTGGATATTGCATAACACCAAATATCTTTTGAACATTGCATCAACTCAAACATTTTTATTTTCCTACGTCTTACTCCACAATACTTCACGAGAAACTGAAATTACGGTTGAGAAACAATATTCATCACACATTTTTGCGCTATAATGGTTCTTGTAGATATAAATACACAGTTGTTGTTTACAATAAAACTTATTTTGTACAGGGGGCAAAACATTTCAAATACGAACATTTTTAGTGAAAATAAATTTCGTGTTGACAACATACTTGTTGTGTTTGGAGGAATATATTCTAAAAATCATTCCGATGGGTACAAATTGTGCATTATTGCTAGTGATTTGTTTCGACATTTCGTATGAAATAGAGTTTCTACAACATGTAAATCGCTAAAAAGAAACATTATTGAGCTGACTTTGTGACATTCCGAACATCTTGACAGTGATATTCTTATCCCGCCAGCCTATATACATATCACAGTTGAACCATCAAAGTCAATCATGCAACCCATGTGTACTTTTTCCGCAACGTCATCGCATACTGTAAACTAATTTATTACATCACGTGTTGCATTGCTAAACGACTAAAACAGTAATTCAAATGGGTTACATATTTGCTTTGAGCAGTCTGAGAACTTAAGTTAGTGGTCTGACTATAACGGCTGCACAACCATACCAGTTTTCTAAGTAAGTAACCCTATTTCGGTTTCGGCGTCAATGAATATTTACGATGTCAGAGAAACCCAGAACGGCGTTCTCATCTTGAAGTAGGTGTGATGGGGGATAGAATAGTCCAAACGACCGTCATAAAAACGAGAGCTATTAGACGCCGCAACGTTAGTCTTTTATTGGATTTCAGAATGAATTTGTATCCTCTAGGCTCAACGTATTTGTTCGCTGTGTGCGGTCATTGACAACACTCAATTCATTCCGCTGTAACCAGTTACGTGTGAAGGTCGCCGAACTTGAATTATGTTTATTGAGTAGCACCTAATTCAAGTGTTTGTATCAGTGCATCATGCTCAGCAGAATCCATTATCAAAATCGACTCTCAGCTAAGAAGAAATATTAATCTTATAAGACTCTTTTCAAAAACATTCTAGTACCAGAGAATATTTTAGTTTATAATTTCGACGAAGCAAGATGTCCAACATAAATGATTTCATTGATCGACGATTTGCATTGAACTGTCGCATATGTCATATCTGTTTGTCGGGGTTAGGTGGTATGTAATGTTGCTGAACGGTATATTCACCTACGTCATTATAATAAACTAGACTAGACCTCAATTTCTTACAAAAACTCTGCGAATACGACTCAGAAAGGTACAGGGGGGTTCCACATGTGGAGCAGGCTGTGTGCAGTTTCAATACCTTGCCTTGTATCGATGTCATCTCTTTAGCTGTATACAATGGATGCATGTATACTCCGGCAGAGCTCCAGAAGGAGTACCTACACTTTATGCAAATTTTTTTAAAATTATGCTAATTTATTCATGACGTAGCAGTTTCTGTGCTCATGAATATTCATTAATTTGTGGGTCATTACATTTTAAAAGGGGCGATATATTATTTTTGGGGGAAGAGTTAGAAAGGGGGATTAGCAATCCTTAGGGGGTCAATACAAAAGAAGGGACCCATTTGGAGAGCAGCCATGCTCCTCGTGTCTGTTGTTGCACGTGACCTA